TTTGCAAAGAACTTTTAAAATACACACTTATTTCCGTAAGTCATCCTGAAGTGTCACCAGCACCCCTGAGTTGGTTATCAGGAGCTGGGATCAAACATGGGACCACTGGATCTTAATACATGAATCTCTTCTGCTTGAGCTAAAAGACCCACTTGTGTTGGTCCAGGCTGTAGCAGACTCCTTAATCTCTGGTTGCTTTAGCCTCCCTGCCTGGGGCCAGATCATCCCACTGAGTAGGCATAGTTTATATATATTATTTCTCTAAAATCAGACCTCATTTTAAATGCCTCCCACTAAGTTATTTCATGATCAGCCCTCTCCCTGACAGAGTTTGGACTACCCCCTCTTTCAGGGATCAAACAGGAAATGTAGCCCTCGTTTTCCAAACCCCAGAAACACATTAAGTTACCAAAACTTCCAAATGACCATCATTTTCCCCTCCTATAGAGCCCCAGTGGGAACTGGAGTGGGATGAGAGTCTCGGAGTGTCCTCAAATGACAGCCTGTTGGAGTGTCAGGTCAGCTGAACACTGGTGCAAGAATAAAACATAGATTTATCAGCCTAGAATGGTTCCATATGAAATCCAGGCTAGATTTCTTGCAGGAAAGTTTCCAACAGGGGCTCTCTTATATAGTGTAAGGAGGTGAGACAGTGATTAGGTGAAACATGGCCATTTGGCTTACTATGTATCCTGTTGATCAACTCTTTAAATGTTCCTGATATTTCGGTACAGAACAAGGATGAAGTTACAACGAAATGTCACGGTGACCCAGCCAAATATAATCAAAATAAACCAGGAAAATCCCTGTCAAATATTAAGATTGATAGTTCTTTTCATTGTAATAAGTAGATAAACAAGTTTTATAATTTAGGGTGTAATGTGGAATCTTATATTTGGTCACAGAGCATTCATTATTATGTAACAAGTCAGAAGCAAGGGGTGTTGATAAAAGTCTGGTAGTATCTTGGGTATAAAAGAGCATACTGAGACTTGTCTTTGCCTTTGCTGCATATATCCTTGTCTGTAAATACTTGGTCAGCTCACTGGCTGGTCACCCTCAGCTGATCACTGTGGTTTGGGACTTTATGCCTATGCTGAAATAAATCTGTTCTTTGGTGCTGGTTCTGGAGTTAGCCATGGTTTTGCCTGCTACAGCAAGCAGTCTGCTTTGCTAGATTTGTAAGGTAACCCGTGGTCCTGAAAACATGCTCACATATGGAAATGTAACTGTGCTTGTCTCTGGATAATGGAGTCTAGAATGCTTAACTGTATTTAAATAACTTCTCTTGGTTCTGTGCAAAGCGTTCCTCTTCCTCCTGAATACATCGGTATCTTGTTCAGGACCTAAAAGTTTTTACATTTGTCCTGCACAATGATTGGCATTGTACAGCCTTCTCCCTCTGAGTGCAAGGCTCTTCTTATGTCCGAGTTCACATCAACAGTCCTTCTCTGCAGGACAGACATGTGCAAGTGCTACCCCACAAATATCTGGGTTAGTGATTGTCTATTTGCATATCGCTTCTATCTTCTTCTTGCTTATCACTCATACAATTTGCAATTACAAATACATTAAACCTTTTTTTCTATTCTTATCCCATGTTGCAGAATGATTATCTTTTGTTCTTGTGCAAGTTGGAAGTACATGCTAGACTATTTGAGTGATGCAGATCTTCTCCTTCCCTCCCTAATTAATATAAAGCTCACCTGTCAAGCCTTAATGATCTTCAACCCAGTAGGCTAGTACCTCTTCTGTTTAAGTGGAGGCCACTCAACGGGTAGTGATCAATGGCTCCATGTCTAGTTGGCAGCCGGTGTCAAGTAGAGTGCCCCAGGGGTCGGTTCTGGGGCCGGTTTTGTTCAATATCTTCATAAATGATCTGGAGGATGGTGTGGATTGCACTCTCAGCAAATTTGCGGATGATACTAAACTAGGAGGAGTGGTAGATACGCTGGAAGGCAGGGATAGGATACAGAGGGACCTAGACAAGTTGGAGGATTGGGCCAAAAGAAATCTGATGAGATTCAACAAGGACAAGTGCAGGGTCCTGCACTTAGGACGGAAGAACCCAATGCACCACTACAGACTAGGGACCGAATGGCTAGGCAGCAGTTCTGCGGAAAAGGACCTAGGGGTGACAGTGGACGAGAAGCTGGACATGAGTCAGCAGTGTGCCCTTGTTGCCAAGAAGGCCAATGGCATTTTGGGATGTATAAGTAGGGGCATAGCGAGCAGATCGAGGGACGTGATCATCCCCCTCTATTCGACATTGGTGAGTCCTCATCTGGAGTACTGTGTCCAGTTTTGGGCCCCACACTACAAGAAGGATGTGGATAAATTGGAGAGAGTCCAGCGAAGGGCAACAAAAATTATTAGGGGTCTGGAACACATGACTTATGAGAAGAGGCTGAGGGAACTGGGATTGTTTAGTCTGCAGAAGAGAAGAATGAGGGGGGATTTGATAGCTGCTCTCAATTAACTGAGAGGTGGTTCCAGAGAGGATGGTTCTAGACTATTCTCAGTGGTAGAAGAGGACAGGACAAGGAGTAATGGTCTCAAGTTGCAGTGGGGGAGGTTTAGGTTGGATATTAGGAAAAAAATTTTCACTAGGAATGTGGTGAAACACTGGAATGCGTTGCCTAGGGAGGTGGTAGAATCTCCTTCCTTAGAAGTTTTTAAGGTCAGGCTTGACAAAGCCCTGGCTGGGATGATTTAATTGGGGAATGGTCCTGCTTTGAGCAGGGGGTTGGACTAGATGACCTCCTGAGGTCCCTTCCAACCCTGATATTCTATGATTCTATGACCCAAACAAGAAGATGTTCATGAATTTGGTGTGTAAACTTTTCTTAAAGGGATATTGAGAAAAACTGTTTTGAGAATCTTTTGTCATTCTTTAAAATATGATCAGAAGGATCTGAGAACCATCTATATAGCATGGGATAAAATGAAGTATGAGATGACCAGACTTGCTTCACTTGTAATTCTGGGAAAGATTCAAAACAGTTTGATCAAAGGATGCTTGTCTTGAAATGCTCCTTAAACTGAATGGCGGAAGAAATATCTCAATAGTGAAAATCAAGGGCCCAATCTTGCTCCTACAGAAGTCAATAGGAGTTCTGCCATTCACTTCAATGCATCAGGCACTTGTATTGCAATAAACATCTGCAGAAATCTGGTGATTAAAATTATTGGAATTATTGTTTTGATGGAAAGAAAGCATTCTAAGTAGTCTTCACAGTCATAGGAGGCAGCTGCTATTGTGATTTAGCAGTTATTAAAACAGGTTACATAAATATAATTACAGAAAAAGAGTCTCAAATCAGTAGTAATTAGAAAATGAAAGCCTTACAAGATACCTTTTTGTTGTTGTTAGGTTTCGAAAAATGTTAAAACATATTTCTTTTCAATGTGTTGCCTTTTTTATTAATCAGCAACCCCTTTATGTCACTTTGGGAAAGAGTATTACACTAATAATAACTATACATTTCCAGAAGGTGGACAGATGATCTGGTTAATTATTATATCTATCTCTCTGTCCATTGTAGGGTTTGCACAGTTGCCCATCAGTGTAGTATCTGAGCATCTTCCATGTAAATTGGAAACATGAGTAAAATCCTCCTGGAGTGCATGGAATTACTGGCATGTCTACTTTTTTGAGTAAAAGTCTGCTTAAAGTAGAGAGGTTGGTTGTTAGTTACATCAAAAACAGAAAAGGAAAGTTAAATTAGCAAATACAGGAACATCTCACTTTTACAACTGAATAGTCACATTTATGGAAAAAGAAAGATATGGGTGGATATAGTAAGATGTTGATGTTATATGAACTTTGTCCTGTTTTGTGTGTACATATGATATAATATAGATGCATATAACCAGGGTTGATTCTACGCCACATACTTAACAGGAAAAGTATTTTAGAGAGTTGTTTAAAAAGAGAGGATTATTTTTTGTATCCCCCTGTCTAAAAAGCCAGATTGCTTTTGTATGACAAATCCAACCGTACAGTGATCAGCGGAAGAGCAGAAATGTACCTTAATAAAAAATTGTAATACAATTTCTAATACATTTTAGAAATCTCTGAAAATAACTTAAAGTAGCTATTCTATGCATTTAAATGATATACTTTGTAAGTCCAGGTATGTTCAGAGAAGTGGAAGAAAGTGTTATGTGTTCCTTTGGAAAAGCCATAATATCCTCTGTCTAAGGGCTGAACTCACATTTCTATCCAAGAAGACATATAAGATATTGGACCTTAATCTATCACTGGAATGGGGCTGTTGTCAGGAATCTAGTCTCAAACCAAAGCCCTTTAGAAGCTCAGAAAACAGCCTTACCCATCACACCACAGCCATGCACCAGGCTATAGGGGACTTTACAGAGTTGAGTGGGTCAACATCCAGAGTTTTGCAGCCTGCTCCCTGATTGGCCACATGATCTTGACCTTGATTGGCTAGTGACCCTATATAAACTTCCTGCTTCCTTCCTGTCCTTGTCTGACCAACAAGCCATTGCCTGCTTGTTGCTACTTGGACCCTTCTGCTGCCTTGCTGAACTGTCCCCTTGGATTGGATCTCCAGGCTATCAGATCCTTACATGAACTCTGACCTCTGCACTGTGCTTTGATCTGCCTCATCCATGGGAATTACAGCTGTGTAAGGCCCATCCTTAATCATGGACCAGTGTAACTTTTGCAGATGAGGGGGTGAAGAATCCACACTTGAGGGAAAGAGCGATGCATTTTTCTGTAAGATCTTTTTTAATCTTTGAAAGTTCCACTGTTTAATCAAACATTGTGTGAAAAAGTATTTCCTTTTATCAGTTTTAAATTTCATGTCCTTTAATTGCAGTGAATGGCTCTGTGTTCCTGAGTAATGAGACTGGGAGAACAGAAGTTCCCAAGTGTACCTTCTCTAAACCATTCATTGTATTATACTTTTCTCATATTTCCTTTCTAAATAAACCATCCCAATCTTTTCAATCTGTGGCTCCACAGATGAGGTTTTTCCAGGTGCTTTATTATCATTTGTCACTCTTCTCTGAACTGCCTGTAATTCTGCAACAGGAGAAATATAATCAAGAAATGATGAGCTTAAGTCTCAAATTTAACTCCTTCCCCTCACTTATATTTAAGTATTGTCCCTTATAGAATTCTAGTTATTTTAAAATTTAATATGATACACAGCTGAAATTTCTTATACTTGCATACAGTAAATCACAGTGTAGTACTTATTACCTTCAGCCTTGCTTGTTTTTTCAATTATATCTACAAAACAAGCCAAATGTGAAGAAAATCAGTTCAGTACTTTTAAAGTAATGAAGTTTCAAATTGATGGCCTGGATTTTGAGCTGGTCCCAAATTTGAACTGGTCCATAGATTGTAATAATCTCAGAGGTTTTTTTATGTGTTCCAGTTTCAGGTGCTCTCCCACTGGAGAAGTTATTTAAATGATCCAGAGTTTGAGGCAATCCTGAATTTGAGATGTGCTAGAGTTTGAAACTGTCCAATGTTCTACCCCACGCTAGTTCTGATTCAATCTTAAATGAAATTAAGCAAGTTGAAATATTTAATGTAAAATGTTCATATAATTAATGTTAGTTATATTATTTCCTTGAAGGTAGGCTTGCCTTTTACAGGCTTGACCTTAACTGAGGCATTGTCATGTGAAAATGGTAAAGTACATCTTTTTTAACACTGAAAAGGGAACTTTATTAGACTGTTGTTCCCTGAAACTATTCTGTCTTTCTGGCTCACTGTAGAGCTTTTCCTACAAACTTCTCCAGGGCCCTTTCCTTCTGGCTTCCTGCTACAGTTTTAAAGAAACATTACACATATCCTCACTAAGATAAATTTATCATCTAATATTTTTGAATTCATTACTTTGAATGTTGTACTTGTATAGCATCTTGAATCAGAGGATTTCAGAGGGATTTGCAAATATTAACAAAGTAAGCTTTAAAGTACGGCTGTGGATAAGTCAATATTCTTGTTATACAGCGAGAGGACACTGAGTCAAATATGCTAAATAACTTGCCCAACGTCAAAGAGAAAGCTTGTGGCCAGAAGTATAACTATAACTAAGCATGGTGTGGGTGGGTGTTACGTACTCCCAACGTTAGGTGTGTTGACACCTCAATCCATTGATACACAAAAATCATCCAGTCACAGAATAAAATAAATTTTAAAATTGTGTTGTACACCTTTGATAAAAAATTCCATCTATATTTGAAGTGGTGTGTAGAATTATTATTCTGCAAACAAGAATCAGGATTATTTTTGTTTTTTCCTGGTCCTCTGACAATGACTCTGACACATACAAACTTTCTGATCAAGGGGATAAAAAATAGAGTTCCTGAAACTACAAAATGGAAAAATCACAGGACTGGAATACAGTTGTGAGAAGAATAGCTTCATGGGTATAGTTACCTTAAATTTCATATAAAGGTATTTATGTTTTAGATGGGTTTCATCTTCAGAGGCTTTACAATAACTTTTATCCTTCAAGATGAAGATTGCAGAAGACAAGCTGTTTGACTTATAGCCCAGTTCTAAAATAGAAATGAGGCATTTACTCTATTCTTTCTGAGGAAACTGAAGTGATGAAATTGATTATTTTTTTGAACTTATTTTTAATTTTACTGATGGATGAATGGAGTGACTGTTAGGGTGTTTTGTTTTTGTTTGTTTTTTTTCAGTCAAATATTTTTAAAGTTGAACTTTCCTTAAACTGATAACACAATGTCCTCTTAAGAACTTTCACACAGATAAGACAGTACCAGCTTATTCAAAAGTGGTCTCATGTAATTGAATTTATTATATTTTGAGGGGATGTGTCAGACATCAGTTGAAGAGTTTGCAAAGCTTCTGTTAAGTATTTTGTTTTTCTTTTCTGAATATTTTTGTAGCTGGGAGACATAGCAGCCTTTTTATATTCTTTTTAACATTAGGGTTTGAAAGCGTGGTTGTGTACATGTGTGGGTATGAATAACCATAAAGTCCACCTCAGAAAGGTGACAGAAAGTTCTCTGTTTAGTAGCTTAAAATATTGTCTCAAAATTATTCACTAAAGTGTCTTCTGTGGTTGTTTGTCTTAAGAGACTTGAGATCGTCATCTCTAATTTCTGGTAAATAAGAGTTGTCTAACTTCTGCTTAAGTAGTCTGCTAAAGTCTAGACCATAACATCGCTGATGGGAAGAGGGAGGAAAGGGTTACCCATCTCACAAGAATAGAATTCTAAGGAAGCTTTATAATTGGCTCTGAGGATGTGCCTTAGGCCATGTCTACACTACAAAATTATGCCAACCTAATTTACATCAGCATACACCCCCTGCACTTTTAAATCACGTGTGTGTGCATACACTTGGCTCCTTGTGTCGGTGGTGCGTGTCCTCACTAGGAGTGCTGGTATTGATTGTATTGCCAATGTGGGGCATTGTGGGACAGCTCCTGAAAGCCAGTAATAGTCAATGTAAGCAACGCAGTGTCTACACTGTCTCTGTTGACCTAATTACATCAACTGGAGCTCTACGCCACTTGGGGAGGTGATGTTACTAAATCAGTGCAGAGAGGCACTTACATCAATGGGAGCCAAATTTAAGTGAAGACACTTCCACAGCTAGGTTGATGCAAGGCAGCTGATGTTGACCTAACCATGTAGTGTAGACCAGGCCTTAGACATTAGATAACTTGTTTTCAGTATCAATCCTGTGACCAGCTGTAAATCATAGATTTGATTAACTTCGGTAAAATTCTTTAGTTGGGTTTTATAACTAAACAGACAGCTACGTACTTAAAATCCTCTTTAGAATTGATTATGTTGATTACATTTGGTATTAAGTGGATTAATTTTATGACTTTTATTTATATGATTATTTAATTTCAAGCAAATCTTGAGACTAATTTGCCAATTTGATTTTAATTCAGTTTTTTGTAATGTTCCGTTTTTACTTCAGTTTAACATTAATAATAGCTTGGTTTTGGTGATATGTTTTCTTGATTTTTATATTAGTTCAAGTGTTTTTTATAAAACTGATACAGTTAGTGGGGTTTTCAAAAGTGCCTGGGCACCTCACACCCAATGGGGATTAGGTACGTAGGTGCTCTTGAAAACCCCACTATGAATCTCATTTCTTTAAATAACCAGTGTAGGGTCACAACCTTTGAAGAGTTGGGGGCAAAACAGCCAATCCACATAAAAGCGTGATTAGTCTCCTGATTAGTCTTGGTTCTCACATGATGTTTGCTGTGGAACAAGGAATTTGATAGCTATAGAAGTAAGTATAGTGAAAGTTAAAGATAACATGTGTGAGGCATTTTTTTAAGTTTGTTCTTTTCTCTGCAAGTGGACGCTGTTCCTCTGCCGTTCTCTGAGACCAGGCAGAAGCGTCTTTCCGGAGTTTGATTACATTTTTAATTGGGACATTTGTGTTTGGAGAGTGGTTGTGGTCTGTTTTGGTTTTTTGAGTAACAATGGTATTTTTGTGACTTTTACCGAGGTGGAGAAGAGAGTTTTATATCGGGCCTGGGAGGCGCTGCTCTTTCTTTGCTCTGCGATGGGCTTTGAAAAGTCGTTGACAGCCACGTTTCTCTCCATGGTGTGTCGGTTTTATAAGCAGAGTGTGCTCAGCCCCTTGCCTGTGGGCGGGCTGGCAGCGGAACTCTCATTTCCTAGCTTAGGGCCACGTCTCCGCCAGCAGTCGATCTCCTCTCCTCTTTGCACTCGCTTTAGCCGTTGAATGCTTCAGAATTAAGACTCATTCAAACCCAAGACCTTTCACAGCCTTCAACATGCTAGGTTTCAGTAGATATTTTTAAAAATAGCAGTAGCGAAATGTAAATGTTCATAACCTTGAGACTGTTTCAAATTTTCCCTTCCCTCAGCTCAATAGTCCTTCAGCTCTCTCCAGGCTCAACAGTCTCTTTCACCACTGAAACAAAGCTCAGCGATTCCCTCACAGGCTAAATAATCTCTTGCCCTGTGAAAGCCCTGCTAAACGGTATCTTGGCCCTCTCCAGGATAAACAGTTCCTTCCTTGTCCCACCCTGGGCTACGGTTTCACTGCAATTGTTGCAGGGAGAATAACAAAGGACTTCTTCCAAACACTCTGGATAAAAAGTATCCTCACATCTTTGTCTATAGCTGAGCTGACAACAGAAATCTGACAGGTTTCAGAGGAACAGCCGTGTTAGTCTGTATTCGCAAAAAGAAAAGGAGGACTTGTGGCACCTTAGAGACTAACCAATTTATTTGAGCATGAGCTTTCGTGAGCTACAGCTCACTTCATCAGATGTATACCGTGGAAACTGCAGCAGACTTTATATACACACAGAGAATATGAAACAATACCTCCTCCCACCCCACTGTCCTGCTGGTAATAGCTTATCTAAAGTGATCAACAGGTGGGCCATTTCCAGCACAAATCCAGGTTTTCTCACCCTCCACCCCCCCCCCCCACAAATTCACTCTCCTGCTGGTGCTAGCCCATCCAAAGTGACAACTTTTTACATAATCAAGTCGGGCTATTTCCTGCATAGATCCAGGTTTTCTCACATCCCCCCCACCCCCATACACACACAAACTCACTCTCCTGCTGGTAATAGCTCATCTAAACTGACCACTCTCCAAGTTTAAATCCAAGTTAAACCAGAACATCGGGGGCGGGGGGGGGGGGGGTAGGAAAAAACAAGAGGAAACAGGCTACCTTGCATAATGACTTAGCCACTCCCAGTCTCTATTTAAGCCTAAATTAATAGTATCCAATTTGCAAATGAATTCCAATTCAGCAGTTTCTCACTGGAGTCTGGATTTGAAGTTTTTTTGTTTTAAGATAGCGACCTTCATGTCTGTGATTGCATGACCAGAGAGATTGAAGTGTTCTCCGACTGGTTTATGAATGTTATAATTCTTGACATCTGATTTGTGTCCATTTATTCTTTTACGTAGAGACTGTCCAGTTTGACCAATGTACATGGCAGAGGGGCATTGCTGGCACATGATGGCATATATCACATTGGTGGATGTGCAGGTGAACGAGCCTCTGATAGTGTGGCTGATGTGATTAGGCCCTGTGATGGTGTCCCCTGAATAGATATGTGGGCACAATTGGCAACGGGCTTTGTTGCAAGGATAAGTTCCTGGGTTAGTGGTTCTGTTGTGTGGTATGTGGTTGTTGGTGAGTATTTGCTTCAGGTTGCGGGGCTGTCTGTAGGCAAGGACTGGCCTGTCTCCCAAGACTTGTGAGAGTGTTGGGTCATCCTTTAGGATAGGTTGTAGATCCTTAATAATGCGTTGGAGGGGTTTTAGTTGGGGGCTGAAGGTGACCGCTAGTGGCGTTCTGTTATTTTCTTATTTGAACTTTCAAAAAGCCTTTGACACAGTGCCTCACCTGCATGAGAAAATACTAAGGAATTACAGAATGAGAGGTGAAATATTGTGCAGATGCTAAGATAAAAAAACAGAGTAGGATTAAATGATCAATTTTCAATTTGTCCAAAGATTAACAGAGATGCCCCGAGATTCTGCACTAAAAATGGTGCTTAATATGTTAATGATCTGGAAAAGAAGGTTAAAAGTGAGGTGAAAAATGTTCAGATGACCCAAAATGATTCAGGTTAGAGAAGACTGAGAAACTTCAGAGGGACCTAACCAAGCTAAATTAAAGGACAGCATGATAGAAGCTAAAATTCTATGTTAACAAATGCAAGGTAGTTCACATTGGAAAGAATAATTTAAATAATTACTGGGTTCTACCTTCATTTCAACCACTCTGGAAAAAGACCAAAGTGGTGGTGTGAACAGCTAGACTAAAACATCTGCTCAATGTGCAAGGGCTGCTGAAACAGCAAACACAATGTAAGAATTCATAAGGAACATAATACTGAAGCTATGGTAATACTGTTTTACAAATCATTAGTACACCCCCTTGAACAAATGAATGAAATCCTGGTCCCATTGAAGTCAATAATAGACTTCCCATTGATTTCAACTGGGCCAGGATTTCACCCATTATATTCATTTCTCATCACCCTGTCTTAAAAAAAATCAGAAATGGTGTGGGGAGGCTCAGAGATGAGCAACATAAATGATTAGAAGCTTAGAAAGATTTCAACAGGAAGAGAGCTTGAAAATCTGGATTTAAATTAAAAATTATTTTACATGAATAAGTGGATATGATAGAGGTATAAAATAATTAAATGTACAGAGAAGATAGAGTGCTTTTATTTGACTCCTCTCTAACAGAACAAGGGACACTCAATGAAATTGTAAGGGGATAAATGTAACTTTATCAAAGGAAATACTTTTTTACACCATGCATAACTAAACTGTAAAACTCATTGCCACTAGATATCATAAGACCAAGAGTTTCAATAACATTCAGAGGTATATGTTACCCCATAATACTCAAGGGGTAGAGGGGAGTCCCACTCCTTGTAAGCTCTGAATGGCTGAGTTCCTGTTGGAATGGTTATTTTGATGATGCTGGGATTACTGTTGTCACAAATATAAAGAGAAGGGTAACCACCTTTCTGTATACAGTGCTATAAAATCCCTCCTGGCCAGAGGCTAAACCCTTTCATCTGTAAAGGGTTAAGAAGCTAAGATAATCCCACTGGCACCTGACCCAAAATGGCCAATGAGGGGACAAGATTCTTTCAAATCTGGAGGAGGGGGACAAAGGTTTTGGTCCATCTGTGTGATGCTTTTGCCGGGAACAGATCAGGAATGCAGCCTTACAACTCCTGGAAAGTTAGTATGTAATCTAGCTAGAAAATGCATTAGATTTTCTTTTGTTTAATGGCTGATAAAATAAGCTGTGCTGGATGGAATGTATATTCCTGTTTTTGTCTCTTTTGTAACTTAAGGTTTTGCCTAGAGGGATTCTCTGTTTTGAATCTGATTACCCTGTAAGGTATTTAGCATCCTGATTTTTACAGAGGTAATTCTTTTACCTTTTCTTTAATTGATTTGTCATTGTTCTTAAGATCCAAGGGTTTGGATCTGTGTTCACCTGTACAAATTGGTAATGATTCTTATCAAGCCTTCCCCAGGAAAGGGGGTGTAGGGCTTGGAGGGATATTTTGGGGGAAGATGTCTCCAAGTGGGTTCTTTCCCTGTTCTTTGTTTAAAACACTTGGTGATGGCAGCATATGGTTCAAGGACAAGGCAAAGTTTGTATCTTGGGGAAGTTTTTAACCTAAGCTGGTAAGAATAAGCTTAGGGGGTATTTCATGCAGGTCCCAACATCTGTACCCTAGAGTTCAGAGTGGGGAAGGAACCTTGACAACTGTATTATATAGCTAATGTGCTAAGGTGCCCAGAGTCTTAGATATGTCCTTTTTATCAGCTTATATGAAACAAATAAAAATAAATACATTGGCAATGGAAGCATCTATAATTGCATTATGTAAGGTTATTTTTAAGAGAAACTCTTCTACCTCCTGAGAATAAAACATCTAACTGATGGGTCTTATGAAGAAATTTCAGAAGGTAGCTTATCCCATAATTGTCCACTATGGGTTTTTTGCACCTTATTCAGAAGCATTAAGTTCTAGACTTTGCTAGAGACAGGATACAAGACTAGATGGACCAATGGTCAATCCAATAGGTTTATTACTCTGCAAGTTATTCTTTGCTAGACTCATGTCTTCAAATATGCATCCTACACAAATGTGTTGTGAGTAGGTGTTCAGTGAAAATATACAGTATTACAAATAAATTGAGCTGTTTGCCTGGATTCGTTAATCTGTCACTCAATTTTGGTGACAGGATATGCCTATTCATTATTTTTGAACTTTAATGAATAGTTTTTGTGGCATTTGCCATATTTCTATAGTTCTGTAAGACTGGCATATTTATAAATGTATAGTTTGATATTTATCAAGTGTTTTTTCTATAAATACAGAAATTTAATAGCTGTTATAAACACTTTCAGTTTCAAAGTGAATAGCAGTAGCTGTTTTAAATTATTTTTTAAATTCCATCTTACCCAGATAAGACCAATAGACTACATATGGGATTAGACACACATCGGTTAAGTAACTTGAATTAACCAATTATCCATATCCTAATTTTCATGGCTGTTTGTTTGGTTAATCCAATCTAAAGTACAGACTCAAAAATTCTTCTAAATTTATAAATCTTATAAAACAAAATATTACAGTGCTAAGTTAAAGAATGGAAAATAAAAATAGTTAAATGAGTGTTTATAGAGTTTTAAAATAATGAATGGAATATGAAGTACTAAACTTTATGTAGACTCCATAAACATTTTATCACAAACCTTTTGAGATAGCAGTACCTTATTGCAGCTAAAACATAACCTATTCAGGTCAGTAATTTCAATATCAATATAAAATCATGGATCCTTAATACAAGTCCTCTTTTAATATGCCAGTTCCAAGCTATGGCCCTTCTTTGCGCCAAGTCAGACAAATAACTCCAAAGAAGCTTAGGTCTTCATTCTGCAATTTGGTGCACATGGGCTGACCTGTGCCCCACTGACGTCAGTGGGGCTCCATGTGGGTTCCAGAATCTGCCCACAAGCAACAAGTTGAAGAACTGAGGTTTCCAGCCAATAACTTATTTACTGAAGATGCCAATTCAATTCAAAACTACCTCTCCCAGAGTACAATAGTCATTGCTGACACTTATCACACAAAGTCCAGTTATGGCATTGGTGATCTAAATAAATCTTTCTTATAAATATTCACAGGAATACATCTGGAAAACACTTAACTTCAATTAATTGAGCCATTACTCAAAAGAAAATGAATTAACAATGTCTCTGGTACTTATTAGGTAGATGCCTTATGGAGCTGGATTCCCCAGCTCAGTTTGACAGCTGGCAGTGACTAGGTCTTCAGATAGGGAAGGACAGTTCAAGTTTCTTCCGCAATGATATGTTTAACTCTGTGTTGTTCCTGGATCTTGGCAGGGGAGTTCTCTTGAAACAGGCCTCTGAGAGATGGAATGTTAAATGCTTCATAGATCGTTTGGTCCTTGCAAGTTGGACAGCCTTTTATGTCCTATCTCCAATTTCTTTCTCAAACTTAGGTGTGAGTTGGCTCAGAAGTACTAGTGTGGCTGTAGACCAGATCCTAGAATTCTGGTTTCGGATGCAGTGTTTTGCATTGGAAGCAGTCATTCTCTATGGGGATCTGTTGCTCCTCCCACTTGCACCTCCTCCAGGGTCCCTCGATGAATCAACATTGAACTCAATTTCAAGTCATTTGACACAATCAAATGCAGCCCATTTTCCTAACAGTTATGGGTCTCCCCAATTGGCAGGCCCAGTGAGCACATCTCAATATTTCACCAGTCATGAGCGTTTGTAACATTTCTGGGGCTAGACATGATAAATATCTTCAGAAGCCCATCCTAATATTCCCAATTAAGTATTCCAGTAAATCATTAGGTTAATGTCCATTATTCCAGTAAATTGTTTGGTTTACGTTGGGGCCTATGTCTTGGTTCAACAGACAGTGTCTAGCATGGTTCTGTACCAAAGTCAATGGAACAGTTTCACTTCCCTATTTTAAATAACTTGTTACTCCAATATGCATTTTAGCTGTTCCCAAAACTGGATGAAAGATTATGCACTTTAACTCAATACTAAAAATGTGATGTTGCACATTAATAATCATTATTAATATATCCCATTTTTGGTGACACTCACCTTGTTCTTGCAGCCTTCAAGGAATCTAGCCCATTTTATTAGATTGGTTCTGATGCATCTAAAATATGTAATGAAAGCGGAAATGACCCGTGTCATAAATATAAAGGGAAGGGTAAACCCCTTTGAAATCCCTCCTGGCCAGGGGAAAGCTCCTCTCACCTGTAAAGGGTTAAGAAGCTAAAGGTAACCTCGCTGGCACCTGACCAAAATGACCAATGAGGAGACAAGATACTTTCAAAAGCTGGGACGAGGGAGAGGAACAAAGGGTCTGTGTCTGTCTGTGTGCTGCTCTTGCCAGAGACAGAACAGGAATGGAGTCTTAGAACTTTTAGTAAGTAATCTAGCTAGGTATGTGTTAGATTATGATTTCTTTAAATGGCTGAGAAAAGAATTGTGCTGAATAGAATAACTATTTCTGTCTGTATATCTTTTTTGTAACTTAAGGTTTTGCCTAGAGGGGTTCTCTATGTTTTGAATCTAATTACCCTGTAAGATATCTACCATCCTGATTTTACAGGGGGGATTTCTTTATTTCTATTTACTTCTATTTTTTTATTAAAAGTCTTCTTGTAAAAACTGAATGCTTTTTCATTGTTCTCAGATCCAAGGGTTTGGGTCTGTGGTCACCTATGCAAATTGGTGAGGCTTTTTATCCAACATTTCCCAGGAAAGGGGGGGTGCAAGTGTTGGGAGGATTGTCCATTGTTCTTAAGATCCAAGGGTCTGGGTCTGTAGTCACCTAGGCAAATTGGTGAGGCTTTTTACCAAACCTTGTCCAGGAAGTGGGGTGCAAGGTTTTGGGAAGTATTTTGGGGGGACAGACGCGTCCAAACAGCTCTTCCCCAGTAACCAGTAATTGTTTGGTGGTGGTAGCGGCCATTCCAAGGATAACGGGTGTAATATTTTGTACCTTGGGGAAGTTTTGACCTAAGCTGGTAAAGATAAGCTTAGGAGGTTTTTCATGCAGGTCCCCACATCTGTACCCTAGAGTTCAGAGTGGGGGAGGAACCTTGACAACCCGTTTAAAGGCATTTACTTTATCAAAATAAACCTAGGGATTTATCTAAACCTAGTTTGAAAGCCAGAAAATGCCTCCTGATAAGTTCACATGAACATCAGAGGTATATTTCAGTATAAACAGCTGGTGTCAACTGTCTAGTTCCATTGACTTCAAGACAATTTACATCAGCTGAGGACCTGCACATCACAATAGAAGCATTTTTTTCCCTTGATAGATGGTGGCTCCTGCAAGTAAGTCTTCAGTCACAAAACTGAGACATTTATGAGATAACCGGAATGACCTAGATTGTCAAATTCAAGATATCTCAGCAAAACGAGAGAAAGGCTTAATGCAATTTTATCAATATCTCCTTCAGTCATCTGGATAACATTGCTTTTAATACAGGCAAATACCCTTAAACTTGAATAATGTAATTGTACAGACTCACAACCCTCAGCTGACAGATGAAAACTATCAATTTTCTTGTTTGATTTGAGTTTACCTTACATGTCCATATCCCACATTCCCTGTGTGAAACCCTAACACTTAAAAGCAAGACCTAGAAGCTACTTCAATATAGCTGTTGGTGGCTAACATAGCCCCCCTAAAATCAGAGCCCCAGGATGTAAGATTCCCCTTTTACTTGAGCTCATGAAAGCAAACAGTTGCTTGAAAGTAGATGAGGACACCTTAAACACAAGTGAAGGGCAGGCCAAACCCTGAACTTCCCCCTAACAGAAGAATTCATAAACTCCAAAGAGAACCTCGTAGTTTTCCTTTACCCTGGCTGCTGTCAATAGGTTTTTTCACAATTGGGAACAATAAACCTAAACTGGACCTGAATTAAGGAGTTGATTTAGGGATCTCGTTTCACTAGTACAAATTTAGGAAAGAGGAGAGTGGGGAAAGAGGTGGAAAGCTGTGGTTTGGCACAAGAAGCCAGCTGGCGATGAAGAGAATTGTAAGTTTTGGCAGCCTTTGTAACATTTTAAAAGGGAAACTCCCATCACCCACAAAGTTAAATGATAGTGGAAAGGAAATGGAGGGTGAGGAGAATAGAGAGAAAAATCTTTCCCCATAGTTTATTCTTTGTATCCCTTTCAACATTCCAGGTAGAGAGATTCTTATCTTTGTGGTGATGAGGTCCCATCTGTGCACAGCTGTGCAATCTCCAGAAAGGACCAGGAGGCCAGTATAGATTTGGATATTATGTTCTATAGACTGCAGTGGGTTTTTTGCAAAATTCTACTTGCATCCCCCTCAGAAGTGAAGCACAGATAAGAGATTTTTTTTTAAAGTCAATAAGTAAAAATATAGATGTTGTTCTCTATTGCTTTGTTCCTTGTATAGGAAATTACCCCTGTGAAAAGTTAATGTAAAATAGATATACAATACCACAAAATGAAAATGGTGGTGGTTTATACCCAATTTGAGGTCACTTTGCATAGGGGTAAATGACTACACAAAATGCAATGAAGAATCCGACCCTGTATTTTATGTTCATTCAGCCTCACCATTGTGACAGGCATGATCCATGTTACATTCAGGAGGCAGCCATGTTGGATCCTTCTATAGTAGGCATCCTTTGAGTTACATAGTACTGTCACCACTGGAGGACACTCTTGCACTAACATAACATTGCTTTAGGCTGCTTACTGTTCTGTCTCTACCACTGAAGAGCAGTGTAAGAATTCAAACCAAATGTATTTCTTTTTTTCTTGAAAGTACCACTCTCTATATATTCACTGTAACAAAGGTATATTTAGAGAGAATACATGGTGAGATGGCATAAAGGCTTTTCTAGATGGCCAGCTTACACACATGGTGAAGGTGTGAGTGAGTTCTGCAGCTCATCCCAAATAACGTGGTCATTGTAGTAGAGTCTTTTAGAGTGTGTTTGGAGGTTTTGGAAGTAGAAGATTGCTGCATTCCAACAGGGGTATGAGAGACATTGCTAATTATCCTCTGGCTTCACTTCAAAAGAATTTCTAGGGCAGATTCCCTTTTGAAACCTATAGTCCTTGAGCCATACATTTCCACTGTCTTGCAGGAGACTTAATTGCTTTTAGTGTGAATTTCACTGAATAACATTAAGTTTAAAAACCTCTTACTGCAAGTCAAGTGGAATTCCAGGGCTCCGGGGGCCTGATTTATACCAGTTTTACACTCATGAATTAGAGAAATGTAAATTAATAAATATAAATGTAAGGGCTAAAGCAGTGTTTTTCAAACTGGGAGTCCTGACCCAAAAGGTGGTCACAAACCTATTGTAGGGGGATCACAGTATTGCCACCCTTTCTTCTGGGCGGCCTTCAGAGCTGGGCAGCCAGAGAGCAGCAGCTGCTGGGCTGGGCACCAAGCTCTGAAGGCGCCGCCACCAGCAGCGGCATAGAAGCAAGGGTGGCATGGTGGTAGGGGATGTCATCACAACCCGAAACATTTTCAAAGGGGGTTCCAGCAAAAACAGGCTTGAGAACCCCTGGGCTAAAGCATGTTGCTGGGGTGGGGGTTTAAGTTTTGTTTTTGTTTTCACCACTGGAATCTCACTTTGCAATTGGCTTACATTCAGTTGACTCAGGCATAGGCAGAATAATATGATAATTTGGGCTGAGTGGGTCTTCTGTCACCTGATTGTGAGAAGTTCTGAGCCTCAGGATCTAGCCCCTCAGGAGTTCTCCAGTCCATCTACCTGCATTGTGATAGGAGTTATTTAATTAATCCTTAATCATCCTCAGAAGATGGTTATGAAGACTAAACTTGAATAGTCAGTGATGTTGATTCTGCAATATCCCCTGCATGACTAATATTTATACTCTTTTTTTCTTTGTATTTAACCTAATTTGCTGCAGACTCTCGCCTTTACATTTTGGTCTGTTGATAAATGAGAGATTGCTCCCTGTACACGTTATAGCTCTCCATGGAGCCAGAGATGATGATTGTCTTTTCTCCCTTTCATTAACCACTGCTGCATAAATACATCTGTTAGTCTTCTCCTTTTTAGTGAAGATAAAAGCAAATTCCAGGTGAGCAGATATTATAGTGATAGACAGGTCTTGGAATAAATTCCATATTTCCCACTTGTCATTCTGTGCCTGGTCAAGCCCCCACTGGAGAATGAGAACGCAAGGGGTAGATCTATTAATAGGTTAATATCAAGAGGTATTCTGACTCTATTTTTAAAAATTGTATATAAAGCCTCAAGAGCAAAGATAAAGAAGAAGCCAACTGCAGCATACAGGGTACAGCACTATTTTCCCTTTCCAACAGCAGAGACCTGAGAACTTTTAAAGTAGGGGAGAGGCTTGTTTTTGTTTCAAAACTAAGTGGCACCAACTGTACTTTCTGATAGCTGTTGAACTCCATTTTAGGTCATCACAAAAAGAAAAGGAGTACTTGTGGCACCTTAGAGATTAACCAATTTGTCCTCATACCAAGTCAAAGACTTAGCCTCCAGACCCGGTCACCAGTGACTTCAGCTCTAGTCATCACTGAGCAGAAACAAAGACTCTTAAATGAGTATGATCAGCTTTGTCTTTAAACAGAGGGGGAGGTTAAAATGGTGTCTATGACTCTATTTAAAGAGCCTACACCCCCAGGTAGGAACACCTGTCCCCAACCCCACTGCTTTGCTACCTGGTGCAATCATTAAGCACTCCAATCATTAAGAACTGGGCTAAATAGTGGAACCTCAGAACACAGCACCCTTACCCCCTGCTTAGTGAGTGAGGTTAAATTTAGGTTCAACCAGGGCATGTTAAGTACCTTTACTTATACAATCAGGATAACATTTCTGTGTCCTAGGGAGCCCCTCAATGCTCACTTGCAGAGGATACCCTATAATGCTCATCAGGCCTAGCACATTGCCCCAACTCTCTGTTGTCATCTGTATCTATAACATGCCATGGAAGGTGTCACATGCAAACTGGTAATATACTGGCCATTAATATTAGCGCATGATGTATGTACCGGAAGTGTATAAAGAATTATAGATGTGTGCTGGAAATATGTTCCTCAAATGTGTTTGGCATGCAGTACCTAAGCACAGCCTGTCCTAGGCAAAGGAATGCTTCACAGGCTTGAGTGTGGCTCCAATGTAAATTCCGTAAGGTGTGACCAAAGACCATGAAAAGCACATTTATGAGCAAGGTTAGACAAAGCCATCAGGCAGTAAGTGGGGGAAGACAACCACTTAACAATGTTGGTGGGGAATGGAGACTGCACCCCTGCACCCACCTCCCCAAGGATGCTTTCCTGCTTCTTGAAACAGGGTCAATGGACTTTGGAAGATATAAGTAGAGGGGGAAAGCCATTTGTCATCGTTCCCCTGAGAAGCCCAAGAAATGAAGTGTTTTAGGCTCCATGTTGGATCCTGGCTAAAGACTGGCCAGTCATGCTGGAAGAATGACTGTGGTGAGCAAACTACTTTGAATAAAAATCTAAAGTGTAAGTTAGATTTTAGCCTTAGAAGCCTTATTTTTACTTGTTTGTAACCACTTCTATCCCTACTCTTTCTACTTGGTATCTCTTAAATCCAGGTTCTATTGGTAATAAACTTGTTTTACCTTTTACAAAACTATCTCAGTGTTGTATGTTAAACTAAAGGGTAAAATCCTCAGCTAATCTAGCAGGCTGGTGTGTATTCTTTCCCTTTGGAGGCAGCTAACTGGATAACTTCTGTGAGGGTTCAGTGAGAGGGACTGGATACTACCAGGGAGATGGTTTTGGGGTGACTCGGGACTGGAGGGGCAGTTGGTGTGTTGCTGGTTGCTGGAAGCTGCTGGGTGAGGTCACTGTGCTGTGAGCAGGCTACTTGGGCGCTGAGCCGAAGCTGCACAGCACAGAAATAGTCAGGGTTACTGGGCAGGTGGTGACACAAACTCTTACTGGTCTGGGTGAAACCCCAAAGCATCACAATTTTATTACCCCTGCACTCAATACTGAAGTGAATTTTAACCCAAAACTCATCACTCTGGCAAAGCAGGTCTGTCTGGTGAACACCTAGGCAGAGTAGGAGTATCTGCTCCTGAAGTCTTTCCCCAGTTCATCACTAGATGTCAGGGGAGAGCTCATTCAGGCCCTGCTTATGTAAGGCTACTGGATTTTGTTGGAATTTCATATTACAAATGGATGCATTTCCCATGGGCCTTTTAATTAAGAAAAAAAACCTTGTTATTTACCTCAAAAATGGACACCTGATATTTTTCTGCTCTTTTTCTCTTTACCGATTGAGTCTGACTCACTTCTACCAGTATAGCAAGGCACTCTTTAATTAAAATTTCTGTGGTTTGCTTTAATTATCAGCTATGGACTCCTATTGGCAGAATGATCCCAGGTGTATGCTCTGCTTCCCTTTTTGTTTTTTCTCATTCACATGATTCATATTCAGGGTGTATTTTCCATTTCTTTTGTTGGTGTTAATCTAACAATGATTAAATGCATAATTAATATTTTAAAAGTAGCCGAAATGATTTATGCCACGTGCTCAGTATGCCATTTCCAAACTTGGAACCTGATCCTGGACCATAATATGCCATGGATATTTGAAGTAGAATACCTCAATAAAATCAATGGGAAGTTCTGTGTAACATTCAGTGGCATGATGTGGCTACATGAGAAGTACTGAATACCTGTAACTCCCACTGAAGACAAAACTCCTAGTAAGAGGATTTCTAATTATATAAATCAGTGGTCTCCAACCTTTTTACTCACAAGATCACTTTTTGAATTTAAGTGCAACCCAGGATTTACCCCACCCCTGCCCCTTTGTTTTCCCCCGCCCCCATCCTCACTCACTTTCATTGGGAGGGGGCTCCTGGCTGAGCCTGGGGTAGAGATGCAAGTTCTGGGAGAGAGTTTGGGTGCAGGAGGGGGTGCGGGGTGAAGGCTCTGGGAGGGGGCTCAGGATTAGGGTGTGGGCTCCCACCAGGCGGCACTTACCTCAGACAGCTCCCAGGTGGTGGCACAGGGGGGCTAAGGCAGGTTTCCTGCCTTCCCTGGCCCCACACCACTCCCAGAACCAGCCAACATGCTCCTGTGTCCCCCGGGGAAGGGTATGTAGCTCCACACGCTGCTTCTGCCTGCAAGCGCCACCCCCGCAGCTCCCATTGGCCACAGTTTCAATATGGAATTATGAGGTTGGGCTGCCCAGGTGGATGGGAAAGAGAAAATCTAGGCATTGTCCAAAAACTAAATGACTACTTTGACTCAGTTTGCAATAAGGATGATAATATAGAACATGAACATGAAGGCAGGATAGCTGATGGAAATGTGCACAGAAATGGCAATGCTCACATCTGAGAGGAGAGAAAAACTTAGTTTAATGCGTTCAAATAAATCACACAATTAACACACAAATTAATGGTGATTTAAAAAATTATTTGTGATTAATCGCAGATTTAATCACACTGTCAAACAATATAATACCAATTGAAATTTATTAAATATTTTTGGATGTTTTTCTACATTTTCAAATATGTTGATTTCAATTACAATACAGAAAATAAAGTGTACAGTGCTCACTTTATATTACAATTTAAATGTAAACTTGGGTAAACTTTACATAATACTGTAAACAGTATTGGATCTATTAAACAATTGGGTCTACAGTATCATGTGTTACAGTTGGGTCTTTTTTTACAGTGCAAATATTTGTTTTTAAAAATAATATAAAGTGAGCACTGTACACTTTGTATTCTGTGTTATAATTGAAATCAATATATTTGAAAATGTAAAAAGCCTCCAAAAATTAAATAGGTGGTATTCTATTATTGTTTAATGCCACGGTTAATCGTGATAGAAAAATTTTAATTGAGTGATTAATTGCAATGTTTTTAATTGCTTGACAGCCCTAAAAAGAACCACTCTGAGCACAAGAATCACACTTTACTTCCAATACTGCAGGCTGGGAACATGCTGCTTTATTCAACTATACACAAAAAGAGTGGGGTAAAACACCCACTAACTCAATAGGAGGTAAGGGAGGGGATAGAGCGTGGCTCCAACCCATAATACTCTGAGTAACCCAGTTAAGTCCTTGATGACCACTTAGCTACATTGCTCACCTTTCAATCTGCAGCCCTGAGTTAGTCTTCTAAAAACCTTGGGAATGTTCTCTTTTACACAGGGTAGTGCCTCTCCATGGCAGCCATGGCCTTCTCTAGGGGCAGAGGCCCACTGCCTCCACTCTCCTGCTCCAGCAGTTTTGCAAATACCCTCCTCTTGAGCTCTCCGGCATTCCTGGCAAAACTGCATCCTCTTGGCTTCAGCTCCTCCAGACTCATCACCCAAGAGCAAAGGCTCTGGCACCCACATGTCACCCTGTAAACGGATATCATTCAATGCCATCTTACGACTCAAACATCACTTAAACCGACTTTAAAAGACAAAGGGGCAGTTTGCTCTAGGACAGTACCTGGAATCCATGTTGGCTGATCACTATTGAAACCTTTAGTATAGACCAGGTCCTTTGGGCCCAAGTCTCTGTCTCTGGATCATAGTCATGGTTTTGGGTTCTGAAAAGCATGGCGGACGTGGACCTGGGGAGTTTATGAAGCATTTCTCCATAGTTCTGGAGCCTCTGGCAGTCTTGGTGCATCCAATCTAAAGTGATCTGTTAGTAAGTGTTTTAATTTTAAGTACTGCCACCCTGCTTGAGCCTGTTAGAAGATGTTTGGGGGTCATTTGTCTTCATGAACAGGCTAATTTATTTTTCAATAAAAATTTTGAAATGGGGATGTACTAAAAGTGAGGAATTCAAACTTCATCTACATGGTTCTTTCTGGCCCAAAACTGTTGCTCTTCAAAGAAGTAGAGGATCATCATCAGAGACAGCAATTGCATCAATGGAGGAGTCAGTTACAGAATTTACCACATCCCTAGAGATCAAAAGTAAATTGAAATGAACTCACAGAGAGGGGAAAAGTATGAATAGTCCCCATCTGTTAGGCATATGAGCTGCCAGATATCGTACATCTTGCAGGGAGGAAAGCTGTCTCTTGCAATTCCAGTACGTGGAATGTAAAGCTGCCAGGATTTGAGAACCCCCAGTGAGACGGGTGACACAGCAGGATCTGCCACTGGCACCAATTTTAAAAAGTGGAACCAGAGCTTTCAAATTTCTACAGAGCAACAGGAGCTGCACCACACTCTGGTGATTCCTTTAGTGTATGTCAGTACCTAGCTAATATACAGACCTTTATATAATCGAAAACACATAGAAGGTGTTCTGCCTTGATAATGATGTTGTCAAATGTTTCATCAGTTCCCCCAACACAAATACAGAAACAAAGGCACTTAATCTTGCTCATACATCATTCTGATGGTATCAGTTTGGGATGAGGTATTCCCTCAACTCCCCTGCTAGGGTGTTTCACATTCAGCCATTTGAGAATTGATCTACATGTCCCAAAAGTTGAGAGTAAAAGCTTGCAGCAAAAGATAACCCAAGTAAGTTCGTCCCAGTCACTAGACAAGCTTATGTATCCGAGTAGGGCAGACATAACAAATAAGAAGTAAACTTGTTGTAAAACAGAACAACTACTCAGTTCACTGCAGGCTATTTAAAAACATTCTGCTTCTTGGGGCTCTTGGAACAGATTCACTTCCTCACCTTGACAGGGAACTGAGCTGTAAATTTCATAAAATATTTGAGCCCTCAGTGCTTGGCAAGTACCCTTGCTCTTCTGAAGGCTGATCTCTGTTCAACCACATCTTTTGCACAATCTTGAAAAATCATTCTTATGGTCTCCCCCAAACAGTTTTTTTCCCCACAAACTAGCTGTAGTATTTTTATTCTACAGTAAATCTGAGAAAATTGACAATCTATGTGTGAGATTTGGCATTTGAGGTGGGCTTAGGAGCGAGGGACCTATGTGCTCTCTCTACATCAAATTTAAAATCCTCCAGCAGACTGAGCACTTCTGCAAGGAGATGGGAAACAAATTCTTTCTCTTTCTTTCAGGTACTCCTATAATGCCCAAATCATTGCAGCAAGACCTCTGCTCAATGTCTGCCACTTTTGATTTAAGAGAAGATTAGTATGTGAGGCTTCTCTGCACCTGGGCAGAGAGCCCTTGTACCTGAATTTCCACCGTTGATATTCACCCTTCTGTTTCATTCATGCATCCTATCAGCGCTTCCAGAGAGGAGTCAATTGAAGTAAGTCAGCTGTGCTATGGCTTTGATATCTGATGTGTCTGCCGTGCCCACATCAGCCATCTTGCTCGAAGGGGAGAGGGAGATAGAGTCGGGTCTCCCGTTCTCCTTGTCTTTTGGCCACTTGCAAAGCTCACAGCAGTCAAATATTTATTTACTTACATTCCAGATATTTTCATGTACTTGTTCCTTTACTGGGGGTGGTCAGTCGGGGGCCCTAGATGCCAGATGGAAATGCATATTAGTGGATGGCAGGCTGTGGAGAGCAATGAATGTGCTCTTCCATACCGACTGGAGCTCCATGAATCCCTTCTAATCCATCCTATTACCCAGGTGCATCACTTCCGGTCTTACAAAAAAGCACTTACTTTGTTTTAAGTGAAGTCCTGTTGCCTACAATCTGTGAAGCACCTTCTCCGGTGTTGACAGATGCTCAGCATCACTTCCAACTATGATGAGGATGTCATCGATCCTCACTACAACATGTGGGTTCAACAATTTTTTACAGCCCTCTGGAAAATTCCAGGTGCTGCTAATATTCCATATGGTAATTGATAGTACTGATATAATCCCTTGAGTGTTTTATAGTGGTACTTTTTTTCTTTTCTTTTCTTTTCTTTTTCTTTTTTTTTTTTTTTTTTTTTTTTTTTTTTACAGTCCTCCTTCAGCCTCATCTTCTGGTAAGCCTGCAACATTTCTAACTTACTAAATTTTTCAACCCCCACTTAACACTGCCAGTAAGTCCTCTGTCCTTGGAATGGAGTAATTGTCTAACCTGGAGACCTGATTCACCATGGCTTTATAATCCACACAGTTGTGGATGGTCTTATCTGGTTTAACCCTGGGTGTGATAGGTGTGGCACATTCAGAAATGATGGTGACATGATTCCCTTTCCCCCAGCCTGTCTAACTCAGTCTGTCTTTTTTCTGAGGGCATAAGAAACTGGTTTTGCTTTAAATAATTTTGGTTTGACCCCATCCTGGACATAAATCCTGACTCTTACTCTATCCAGAGCCTCTGACCCTTCTTTTAAAATAGCTGGGTGAACATTCAAGACTTCCTAGAATGCTGGTGTTTTGTTAGGGTCTCATTTGAAAATTTCCTCCCAGTTCAGATTCAGTTCTTGCAAGCAATCTTTGCCTAACTGATTCTGACTTTCTCCCTAGTTTATTAGGGCTGGTAACCTTTTCTTTTGGCTTTTCTTTTGGTTGGTGGTGGGATGGAAATTGTTGAAATCATGGTGGAATTCCTCAAGGGCTTCTTTTCCATGGGTCCAGATGATGAAGATGTCATCAATATAGCGCAAGTAGAGTAGGGGCTTTAGGGGATGAGAGCTGAGGAAGCGTTGTTCTAAATCAGCCATAAAAATGTTGGCATACTGTGGGGCCATGCGGGTACCCATAGCAGTGCCGCTGATCTGAAGGTATACATTGTCCCCACCACCAACCTCAGCCTGGTCCAATCCACACAAGAGATCCACTTCCTGGACACTACAGTGCTAATAAACAATGGCCACATAAACACCACCCTATACCGGAAACCTACTGACCGCTATTCCTACCTGCATGCCTCCAGCTTTCACCCTGACCACACCACACGATCCATCGTCTACAGCCAAGCTCTGCGATACAACCGCATTTGCTCCAACCCCTCAGACAGAGACAAACACCTACAAGCTCTGTCAAGCTTTCTTACAACTACAATACCCACCTGCAGAAGTAAAGAAACAGATTGATAGAGCCAGAAGAGTTCCCAGAAGTTACCTACTACAGGACAGGCCTAACAAAGAAAATAACAGAACGCCACTAGCGGTCACCTTCAGCCCCCAACTAAAACCCCTCCAACGCATTATTAAGGATCTACAACCTATCCTAAAGGATGACCCAACACTCTCACAAGTCTTGGGAGACAGGCCAGTCCTTGCCTACAGACAGCCCCGCAACCTGAAGCAAATACTCACCAACAACCACATACCACACAACAGAACCACTAACCCAGGAACTTATCCTTGCAACAAAGCCCGTTGCCAATTGTGCCCACATATCTATTCAGGGGACACCATCACAGGGCCTAATAACATCAGCCACACTATCAGAGGCTCGTTCACCTGCACATCCACCAATGTGATATATGCCATCATGTGCCAGCAATGCCCCTCTGCCATGTACATTGGTCAAACTGGACAGTCTCTACGTAAAAGAATAAATGGACACAAATCAGATGTCAAGAATTATAACATTCATAAACCAGTCGGAGAACACTTCAATCTCTCTGGTCACGCAATCACAGACATGAAGGTCGCTATCTTAAAACAAAAAAACTTCAAATCCAGACTCCAGCGAGAAACTGCTGAATTGGAATTCATTTGCAAATTGGATACTATTAATTTAGGCTTAAATAGAGACTGGGAGTGGCTAAGTCATTATGCAAGGTAGCCTGTTTCCTCTTGTTTTTTCCTACCCCCCCCCCCCGCCCCCGATGTTCTGGTTTAACTTGGATTTAAACTTGGAGAGTGGTCAGTTTAGATGAGCTATTACCAGCAGGAGAGTGAGTTTGTGTGTGTATGGGGGTGAGGGGGATGTGAGAAAACCTGGATCTATGCAGGAAATAGCCCGACTTGATTATGTAAAGAGTTGTCACTTTGGATGGGCTAGCACCAGCAGGAGAGTGAATTTGTGTGGGGGGGTGGAGGGTGAGAAAACCTGGATTTGTGCTGGAAATGGCCCACCTGTTGATCACTTTAGATAAGCTATTATCAGCAGGACAGTGGGGTGGGAGGAGGTATTGTTTCATATTCTCTGTGTGTATATAAAGTCTGCTGCAGTTTCCACGGTATACATCTGATGAAGTGAGCTGTAGCTCACGAAAGCTCATGCTCAAATAAATTGGTTAGTCTCTAAGGTGCCACAAGTACTCCTTTTCTTTTTGCAAATACAGACTAACACGGCTGTTCCTCTGAAACCTGTCTTTATGAGAGAGTAGGTTTTACTGCCACAAAATTGAGGAAATTTGTTTTCTTTTTGTCCTATCCTATAATCTCATTTGCAAGAAAATAATAGCCCGGTCTTTCAATATATTTCTGCCAATCCTCATCTTCCACACTAAACTCTTGAGTTTACCATAAGTTCCAATTTTTTGTCTGAGTGGGACTTTATGACTGGGTTACTTGTGGTGGGGGTGACCGGGGCTCAACAGCCCTGAAGGTCTCTTCTGGATCATGTTTTATGTTCCTTAAATCTCATGCTTCAGGCCTTCAGTAGGTCACCTGCGAGGGTCAGGAAGGGATTTTCCCCCAAATGTATACTGAGGGAGGGAGGGAGGGGATGGTTGTTTCCTTTCTCTGAAGCATGAGGGATGTCCACAGGTGGAGATGGGACACTGCACAGGGTGGGCCAGGGCTCTGAGGTGGGGTGGATAATTATTTCTCACATGCTTGGCTGTCTGGTTGGTTCTTGTTCACAGGCACAAGGTCTAACTGATTGCCTTTTGTGGACTGAGAAGGAATTTTCCCCCATATCAAATTGGCAGTTACACTAGCTGATTTTTGCCTCTCTTTTTGCAATATGGGGCATGGGTTGCTTGCCAGGATTATCTGGAAATATCTCATTTAATCATTTCCCTAACATTTACAGGGACCTGGGGCACTGGTGCACCATGCTCCCTCTGTTCTCTGCCTGTGGCAGACAATAGTTTTGTCTCCTGTGAACTTTAATATTTTCTAATTCCAGTTCTTGGGTTTAGTGTGCAGTTTCTGAGTGGTGTTGGAGGTTTATGATCAATTCAGACTGAATGAGTTAGTGGCCCCTTAGGCTTTGACTCTGACAGCTAGAGTTGCCGATGTTTTTTTAAAAAATCAGGTTTTTTTTAAACTTAGAAAATATCATGAGAATCCCATGCACATCCATGGTGCAAACAAGGCTGCTTGGATAGCAAGGGTAGTCCAGTGACCTCAGGAGACATTGGTTCAGTTCCCAGCTCAACCACTGACTTCCTGTGTGATCTTGGGGAAGATACTTAACCTACCCTGGGTCTTAATTCTCCATTGGTAAAATGGAGATAATACCACTCTACCTCATCGCATTGT